ATACCTCTGCTTTTTTGATAAGATTTCAGAACTGTGCCAGTGTAAAGAAAACTGTTTCCACTAAGAACAAAACTTCTCAGAGGGTTTTCCAAGCTCACTGTTCTCTGGGCAGGATAAAACTGCTTCTTTGGGCAAGCATCTAAGCAATGGGTCCACAACGTCCACACAAATTTCAGCGTAGCAAGGCCAATTAACAGTCAGAGATCTCATTTTATCAGGATGATGACAAGAGCATCAGCTGCTATTCCAAATTACAGGCTGAAGCAGTACACCCTCTTAGATATGATTAGGTATCCTACCTCTTAGGTATGATTATTAAATAAATCTTACTTCTCTTATTGCCAAAAGTACAGAGATCAAGTGATGAGCACTCTGTGTAAATAGCTAAATTTAGCCAATTTGCATTGAGAAGTCTAATCCTTACTCCAGTTATATTATTATTATTATTATTATTTTCAGATAGTTCTATCTCCTATTATACATAGTTTAACTAACTTTTTAGGGGACAGCATTTTTACATGCAGCTACAACTTTCACTGGAAGCTGTTATTAGATTTCACATTCACAGTTAGTGTTATGGACATGTAGAATCAAGGTACGGATGAGCCTACCAATTTTCTTCATTCTGTACTTTTTTTTTTTTCTGTTTTCCCTCCACTCACTCCCTGTTTCTTTATTGTTTTTCTATAAAACACTTATTTTATAGAAAATAATTGTCACTGTGATAGGATTATAATCTTCTTTTTTCTATTATGTATAATTGTAAGTCTGTATCAGAGTTACCTTCCTTCCTTCCTCCTCATAATCTGTTCGTGGTAGAAAACGCGGGGCATGCTTCTGAGACACGGCATAAATGTATCTATCTTGACTTGAATACAAAGTTAGTGTCTCTGAAGATGATTACAAGCTTTAAGATATATTTTAATTCAACTCAGCTGTCATTATAAAAGCTTTGAGTTGTCTTGAAAAAAGAACAAACACACTGACTAATATCTGCTAAGAATTTGCCAAATATTGAAAATCTAGACAGAGTAGCCAAAGATGCTATTTGAATATTCGCTATGAATAAAATACTATTACGGTAAACAAAAAGTTAAAAGAGCATAGTGTCCATACTGTGCTTCTTCCTCCACCTAAATCTGCAGTAGTAGCACTAGTCACTGGCCTGATTCTGTGGCATGCAGAGTGCCTCTCACAATGTCCTGCGCTGAATTCCTTTCTGATTGTCTGAAATCTCATCTGGAACTTGCTCAAAGAATAAAACTATGTGGAAAGCACATCTAAGTATTTTAAACGACAAAGAAAAATCTTTATTATATACGTTGATTATGCGTATCTACCGTTACATTATTATTACATAACTGTGTAAAAACTCATCTGATAGTTTGCTCATAACTTGACTTTATGTAATTTAACTGACCCTTATTTGCTAAGATACCGTGTAAGCCAAGGTTTGGAAGACAGCCAAGAAATAAAGGAGGGGAAGAGTGAGAGAGAGAGAGACAGAGAGAAATCAGATTAAACTGTAAATCTGTGGTTGGCATAAACTTAGCAAGCAGTGCAGAACATATGGAATGCAGAATCTTGTGCTATTTCTTTGAAACACTAGTACTAAATTTATGACAAATGCCTGGACCAAACAAACAACATCTTTTTCAATTCTTAAAGACATAATCTGACAAAAAATTAAATTAGCAAAACAACATTCCACTATTAAACACCAGTTTATAACCAAGATAACAGGAAGCAGTCTTGCCATTTTCGTTTATTAGTCATATTTCAATTGAGGATGAAAGCTAGTATTCTCAAGGTAGGAAAAAAAAAATCTTATGACCTTAAATCTTCAGTCCCATCCAACCCAATCACATGCATTTTTGCATAGGCCAAAAAAAAAGTTAATAAAACCCAGAATATTTTGAGGAAACAGGTATATGCTAATTGCTATTAAGAAAATGCATTACTTTGACTATATACAACCATTTTACTGCTTATCATCCTCAGTGCATTGCCTTTGAACCCTGCAATGTCTGTCAAGATACAGTTCTCCATGACACCTCTCCAAACCTACATCAGTGTGTGCCCACACAGAGCTCATCAAGTAGCCAAAGAGTTGCCCTTTCACAGCGAGCAGGCAACTAATATTTAAGCTGGCTCTAAAGAAAGACACTTTTCATAATTGCCCAACAATCTGCTAAGCGAAAACATATGGATAGGCTTAGGTAAAGCCTGCCAGGGGTCTTTGCTGAATGGAAAACAGGTGCTCCAGTTTTGTGCCATGTAAAACCCCATTTACCATTAAGTCCAAAGGTTACAGGACTAATAGCTGCCCTGTGGTAATCAGGGAAAGCAAAGACACTAGCCATCGTCATACATCTGGGACATATTTTACATACTTGCAACATATGCTTCGGTTTCAATCAGAGTGAGGCTTTGGCACATTTGTTAATCTTTTTACTTTTATTGCATAAGAAGACCCATTGACCTGGCTTTTCTATTATAATATATGAGAAAACAGAGAAATAATAAAAGCCAGAGGTCATTACCAGCTGGTGTTACAAAACCTGCATTTCTTTCCTCACAAAGTTTCATTTTGCACAGCGCTTTAGAAACACATACAGATGAGCTAAACCAATATGAAACTGCACTCCTCCTTATGTTGACTCACAGATATAAAAAAAACAGCAGTGGTTAACAGAGTATGACTGAGTGTACCAAAAAACAACAAACTAAAACAAAACAAAAAAAAAATCCCATCCTAAGAGCATTCTAACAAAAACAAACAAATAAAAAAAGCAGTCCTAACAATACACGTAGATTTTATAACTCTGCTCAGGGTGATATAACACCCATTCCAGAAACTACTGAATGTACATGGTACAATTTTATTTTTTAAAAAAGTTATTTTCCATTCAACTTTTTCCCCCTTTGTTGGCATTTTAAATTATGAGAACCCAAGTTGCATTAATGAAGATAGCATTAAACTTACAAAAATCAATCTAAACAATTTTTGCATAGGTAGATAGCTCAAGAATTCAAAGAAAAGAGTCACCGAGCACACACAATAATGTTAAGTACTCACTTTTCTTCAACCTTGGTAACTATGTCTAGGAAAGTGTTAGAAAGCTAGCATCAATTTCATAAAGCTAAATATTAGGTGAGAACATTAAAACCTGGAGTGATATTTCTAATTAGGTATGTTTTACCAGGCATCTATACATAGGAATAAGGACTCTTTCCTCACCAAAGCCCATTTTTCTTTTTAAGGAGTTTGTTTGGCAATTTTCAAAGACAGCTAAGTGGTAACTAAGTAGGCTGGCTTAAGCCATAAGCAGTGAAGCGCTGCTTGTGAGCTAATCATAGTTATTAAAATTTCCAGAAATACACATACTGTTGGGATAATACTCTTCCACTATCTCTAATAATAAAGCAGGAATAAGCAAGAGAAAATGGCCACAAATGGATGGCAGATCAGTGTTTATCAGAAGAGAAATGATGATTCAAAGCCAGCATGTTGAGTTAAAATACAAGCTCTCCATAGCTACATGACTGACCTCGGCAATAAATCATATATTTTATTGCCAGAAGTGTATGCTCACATCATTTAGTGTTAAAAACCATCACATAAGTGTTTGGTAAAATGAGGTTTTGTCACTACAATGTTTGCTGATTCTAAAATGATGTAGCTAAGGATTTAATGATGTATAAAGAATTTCACATAATATCTTTCTGTCAGTTGTAAAATGTTTGAACTGGTAACGGAACAAAGAAAATACTCATTTTTTAGTGTCTCTCAATTCTTAGGTGTTGGCTAACCAAAAAATAACCATTCAGGGGATTAACTAATCACAGTGAATTTTCTGACATTTCAAATGCTGCTGCCAGTATATGAATTCTTGCGGTGGTATATAACTGTACATCTCAACTAGAAACAAAGGTCAAGGGCATAAATTAAGACACACTGTCTCCCCCCCACCCCCTCTGAAAAAAAAGAATAATTGCTTTCCTGCAACAGGAGTGGTCGAACATATGTGACGGTCAAAATCATCTGTGTTTTAATTCAGAGTTGTTGTAAAATTATCCTTTTTTTTTTTTCTCCTCCTCTCTTCTACAAATATGATCTTACTTGTCTGAAAACACCAGAAACAACAGGAGTACCTTTTCTATACTTGTCTCACCAGAAAGCTGTCCTGCTAGCGCTAGCCATTGCTTCAGTGGTGCAAGGTCATTCTAATTTCTTCTGTCTGGTCCTTTCCCTCTCCCTGGGGAGCAACCAATCCAAGGAGTCCCATAGCTTAGCTCAATAAGACGTGGGAAACGAGCTGTTATTTACTGTGGTTGCAATCCTCAACCCAACCAGCAGCCTCTAAGCTGAACCACATTTTCTCCAATAGCTGAATGATCTGCAATAGTTTCCTGGCTTGCTGGGCCACGATGCCAACTCCAAATCAAGCGGATGTCTATGAGAATTGTGATTATTTAAATGTCATATGGAGTGCAAAACATTTCAGCCATTCTTCTGCCAAGTAATTCTTTGAAAATTATAGACGTCAATATCCCATCTTTAACCAGTATGGAGTTGCTATTTTTACACCACTCTTCCCCTAAAGCGCAGCCCTATTTGTAATACTTGAGACAGGACAAATTTTTGTCCTTCAAAAACAGTTGTCACTGCAGTTATCTTCACAAGAGCTATCAAGTTCCAGACAAGCTGAATTATTTTTGTTCCTGGCAGGAAAAAAAAAAAAAAAAAATTGACCCAGCTCTGGACCAAAAAAAAAAAAACAAAAAAAAGAAAGAAAGAAAGAAAGAAAAAAAGCAACAAGGATTTATAGACCTCTATCCTTTCCTGCAATACACAGTAGCATTGTTAGGATGATAAACAGCTCTGTCCAATTTTCTGGACTAAAACACTTCAACTCCTTTTTTAACTGTCTGTAAAAACAGTGTCATGTCTAAATTCTCCCATCCCCAGGTACCCAAGTGCTAGGAAAGATAATTACCTTGTCATCTCTGTCATCCTCTTCTTCATCGTCCTCTAGCATGTCCTCCACTACCTGCAGACAGAAACAGTAGTAGTTGTCATGATTTAAAAAGGGAGAGTTTTGTTCTGTCAATTGTAAGCCTTTTGCAGATGAAAACTTTATTAAAATTTGAAATAAATGCACAGAAGGAAAACATACAACTAGAAGAAACGCTTGATCTTGGGAATCAAATTTAGGGAAGTTTTATAGTACTAATTGACCTACATTAAGGAATTATATACTGAAAACCTTGCCTGTAAAAAATTCTTGCTTGACAATTTAAATATTTAAAAGGTAGTTCAAAATTCAATGTGTGATAGATTCAACTAAAGGAAACTTTTCTCAGCTCCACTAGTGGGTATACTGTACACACAAATGCTTGCTTTAAATTTACCGATACCTAGAAAAACATGCAACAATTAAGACAGAATTGCCAACATTCACCAAGAGATTTTTGAAGAATTCAGTGCTAGGAATAAATGCATACTAGTTTGTCTCTTTATGGTCTGCAACAGCGATATGTACCATATGCTCCATTAGCATTAGCACTATGTTTCTTAATAGTGATTTTATACAACCTGTGCATCTAACTTTGCACATTCACTGCTAACTGTAGTTACCCTGTGTATGTATCAAGGCATTTTTTTCCACCTAAACAAATTCATTTCAGTCTAAAAATGAAATTTCAGTTTAGAAATACATTCGTATATACACAATTCATTTTACAAATCATAATTGTTAAATCACAGGCTGAGCATGGAATGAACCACTATTAAACCTACTTTACAGAGGGAGGAAATGACTTTCAAAAGATGGTCAGTGGCAGATCCAGACTTAAAACTCATAAATTCCTTTCATAACACTGTGATCAAGCTGGCAGCCTACCCTATGGGGAAACTTCCCTATTAATGAAATTGAAATAAAGTTGTACCTGTTCATACTAGATAAGATTGTGGCTCTTATATTATTGGTTTTTTATTAAAATATAAGAACATCTATAATGAATCTGAACAAAGATCCACCTAGCCCAGAGTTCTCTGGATGCTTAGCCAAAAAACGTATATCACATATTACAAAATACAGATAAAAATTCAAGGAAAGGATAAACTCTTCGATGCAACTCATTATTTTTTGACTTATCTTACAGAGCATTTCCAGCAATTCAAATCATACTTACTTTTTTAATATAAAGTTAGAAATCATCTTTCAGTATCATTTTAGTGTACCATGTCAACACATTAAAATTACGACTTTGTAACTTCTTCCTACACAGAGTTGCATAGACATTCCCATCAAGTTCAAATCCATGTGCAAGGACTTTAACACTATCCAAGGGTCAAATACAGAGTTTAAAAAAAAAAAAAAAAGCAAAACAAAACACTGATGTTGAACTTCAGGGAATGGCAGGGCTGGATAACCACCAAGAAGATCCCAGTTATTCATGCCACGTGAGCACATGCACAGACAACTCTAACGATGTATATCGAGACTCGATTTAACATGCAAGTAGGACACCCTGCATATGTGTAAATCAAACACACAGCACAAAACAACTCCAATATCTGGTTTCAGACACTCCTTTTTGAATCCTGTCCTAATACACTCCTAATAGAAACTGAAGGGCTTTGGAGAGCAAGGAGCCTCCACTTCATCTATTCACTACTCAGTTCTGGAGCTTAGAGTCAAAGAAACACAGTAAAGAGAGAACACATCTCTACCTCAGTGCAAGGAAGAAACAGGACCCAAGCAACTAATGAAAATTAATCCTAAACTTATTCCTACAAAACAGAACAATTTCAATAGGAGTTTGATGAAACCTTCTGCAGCCTAGGACAGTCTCTGATCAGATGATGGTCTTTACAGAAAGGACACAGGTGTGAGTCTTCTTAGGCGGCATGAAGTTTCAAACCTGTGCTCTGGCCCAAACTGGTTAACAAAGCAATAAAAAGACGCCTCCCTCACCAGTTCCTTAAAGAAAGCATCAGAGACAACGAGCAGAGAGTTCAGTGCTGTGACAAGTCGGTCACACCCCTTCGCAGTAAGAGAGGAAAGAGCTGAGAGCATCCTGTCGAAATTCTCATTAGCTGGTTTTGTACAGCTCCTGGCTAGCTCAGCAGGCCTTTCTGTGCATTCCACTTGGAACTCGGAGGATGTGGTTTCATGTACTTTTCTAAGGAAAGAAAGCTTTGACTTTCCCATGCGCCTGCTTCAGCTACTTGTTCCTGTCCCCTCACTGCAGCTCATTGTCTTCTTAATTGTGCTCTTCCAGGTGCCCCTGGAGCTCAGCTATAAACTACAACCCTGCAACAGTCAAGTCTTTGTTGTTTTAAATCTACCTGAAAATTTTTAATTTGGATCACTTCAGTAACCCTGTTTACAGAACTGCTCCAGAAACACCTGCATCAGCTCTACTGAAGAAATGGTGAACCGAAAAGAGAGGATGAAAACCTGTTAAGAGCTGCAGAAAGATGGAAAGCTTTTAAAGCAGTTTTGCCACACACACACACACACACACACACACACCTCAAATTACATCGATTTGTGACTAAAGCACAAGGTATAAGCCTGAATCTGTTGACTCAGGAACTGCCTACGCCTGGCGCTAACTAAACTCAACAAGTCTCTAACTTTTCAACATTAATATTCCCCAGGCATTTAACTCTTCTATGTACGTCCAGAAATTCCCAGTCCTGACAGGCTTGAGCAGCAGGCTGCTTATCTTACATTAGTGCTAAAGTTAGCACAGAGACAATTAGATGAATTGGAAACCTCTAAAAGTTGTTGCAAATGATGGCACATCACTGAAGTCACAACACCCAATCTAAATGATCTGGATAATAATACTTCTAACTCACATTTCTTTTCCTCATTGAACGATTTCAAACTACTTTACAAGCTTTTACAGGGTGGCAAAATGTTAACTTGTTCAAAGGACGCGCAAGAAACCCTTTGAAATCCCTTGAAGCCAAAGACCGAGCCCAGATTTTCAACTTCTCCATTCCATCTTTTAATTCAGAAAATTACTGAATTAAACTACCAGTACCACTCCACACACTTGCCCTGGGTTAGTCTTATCATCAATGTCATTAAGCTTTAGAGTATCAAACTGTCTGGAGGAGAAATCAGAACTCAATTACTGTAGCAAAATAACATGCAGAAGAAGCATTCCTATGTCCAAAATGTTTAAACTGTTCTTTAGAGCATATGAAATATAATCCATGTTTACACTCAACTTGAATTTCAAAATTGAGAGTTAAAATACACACATAGACTGTTGAGACACTATGATACAGTGATAAAATTGTTTAAACCACCAAGACTAAGCTTCTTGAGGGCTTTGTAACACAAATTGAAGAAAATAAAAAAGGTTGTTTTATAAACATACACTCTAAGAAGAACCTGTATGTTGAAGCCACCCAAGTTCAATCTATTTTTATAGAAGAACAAATCAAGGGTTTACAAGACAGGTACAGTGAAACTGAGCAACAGATTTGAGCTTAACATTGCACTTGGAATACTGTAGCAACAAAATCTCATAGTGGATTTGTTTTTTTTCTCTGTTTTTTTGCACTTCATATAAACTACTAGCATGTCATTTTGGTCTGAAGAAAACATAGTACAGTTATTCAGATCTCTACATCACAGAGTCACACAGAATCACAGAATGCTTAAAGTTGGAAGGGACCTCTAGAGATCATCTAGTCCAACCCCCCTGCACACACAGGGACACCTAGAGCACGTGGCACAGGACTGCGTCCAGGTGGGTTTTGAAGATCTCCAGAGAATGTTATATCTTTTCAGTGGCAGAGAGAAAAAAGAGAAGGGAAGGAGGTAGGGAGGGGGGAGAGAGAGGGAGAACAGGAAAAAGCACATGAAGATAAAATGAAGCATTATTTTATTAAAAACTCTAAATTATGCCTTCCAATACATTGCTTGAAATCAAGTAGTATTAATCAAACAAAGGAAAGGCACTGGGGAAATCAGAAAGATCTAATGCAAGCAGTTAAAAGTGACATGACCTTCTGTAATGTCACTTGTCACAGACTTATATGCCGCATACTGGTAGAAGATCTTGAAACAACCTGATTCTCTATACCGTTCCTCAAATGTAATACTAATACAAATGACATTTCAAAAAACACATGTAGACTGCCTCAAATACGGCAAGTCAGCTACTTCATGGCCAAACAATAAGCAGATGATGCTCAAATGTTGCAAAATACCATCCTCTCCATGCAAAATAGCCCTATTAAAACCTAACTAATCAGAACCAGCCTAAACACTAATTTGTATAGACTGCCATCATTCTTGACCCATCTCCACTTTCTTTGGGTTAAAAGAGCTCTGTCTATATATATTGTATATTCACACCCATTCCAGATGCAATTGTCCTGCAGCAGCTACATTTAGTGATGGTATAGCAGATTGCCAGAAGCAGCATTACCATCACCTTTGCATGATGGAGAAAAGCCAAATATCAGTGGACCACAGTGCACTCTTGCTAATTAAACTGACAATTAATTGAAAATTGATTTAAAAATACTTCCTTCATCTAGACATTCCATGCAAGAACAAGACATTGACACTTAACAGCATTTTTAATGAAAGAACTTTTTCCCTTACTGACTATCCACCTGCTATTTCTAACAGAGACTGTGCAATCACCAACTCACTTGGTGAACACTCTTGGGCTACAATTTCTTTGATTTCTCTAGCAAATGCCTGCTCAGAAGATACTTTGGTGCCTTTTATGTTAACTCTTTGAGGTTTCTGTTGTGCTCTAACAGGCAAGATAAATAAAAAATGAGTGAGAGAGGAGCAGTACCACACTGCAGATATGCCTGATGACGGTTACCTTAGTACTTCTTGATTATTTTTAAGTAATCTATAATATTTTTATTAATGGATCAGTTTTGTAGAGCGAGAAACAACCCCCCCCCCACCATTAGTGCTCTACTAGCTTTTTTGCTTATATTTTGCTAAATTTAGTCCTTGAAAAATATATGGTTTCAAATGAAAAACAAAAATAAAAA